TCTCTAATCATCTCATGATCCTGCAACACATCAGTCGACACACTTCAGACTCAGAGAGCGAAGGGATCAAATGACCGAGGAGAGGAGAGGAGGAGCAGAAAGCAGGAGAAAAGAGGAGAAGTCCAGCACTGCAGACCTCACCCAGTCTCTCAGGACTTTCCTCATTTCCTCGAATTCAATCTCTGTTTGCTCCGAGCACATCAGCCATCGCCCGAGCTCCACACCAACATATACGCTCATACAGGAAACATGCCTTTTATTTGCTTAACTGATATGATGCAACTGCTTTGTTTGATTTGTTAGAGCCATGCATATCTGATTCAAGCAAAATCTGAACATTAGGCAGAATATTACAAAAATGAACCTAAATTAAGACATGATCTAAGCCTGTACAGAATGTTCTGACACACGCCTTTGTCAAACTATGCAGGGAGTGTGTTCAAAACTACAAAACACTTCTGAAAATGACGCAACGTTCATCCTGGACTCTGAGACAAAACTGGACGTTGCAATTAGTTTTGCTTTGATTCGTTTTAATTAGTTTTTTTGCTCTGAGGTCGCAAAGGGGCTCAAAGCAGTGAGTATCAAAGCAACCGGGCAGACAAATGGCTTTCAGTTCCTCTGCTTCCATCGGGTTAGACGCTCTCAGACCCAAAAATAAGAGCGTAAATTAAATTCCAGGCAGCCCGAGGAGTGGCAGCTGTAGAAACACAGGGAAGACTTGAGCTGTTCCCGATGGAGGGGGTGTTTCAGGCATGTGCTCGTTCAGAATGAAATGAAAATTCAAAAAAGATATATATATTTGTTTTCTAAATGCATCTTATAGATATTTTGGCCTCATAATGTTCAATCAAACTGGATTTTCCGGTGAAATGAGAGACTTCTACAATTATTATTTCATGAGTTTAAACTCCGCCCCTTCAAGCTCGCAAATAGACACGCCCCTATTTTTGAGTGCCACGCCCACATCTCAACATCCAATCGTCAACTGATGCATAGAAGTAGTTTTGATAATCTGTTAAACTCGGATGTATGTCAAAATACAGAAAAGAAAAGATCTTTCGCTATTACCATTTCATCATGACTGGAAAGAATTACTATATATACTATATTATTTATTAAAATGAACCAACATGGTGAATGTCACAATGGGTTTAAAGTGTTTTATTAATAAAAATATATCATAAAATCTTTCCCTTGTGATCAATTTGTGAAAACAGCATGGGAAATCATCCTTTGACTATTTGATTATTTTTTCTGTTTTACTTTTGCATTTAAAATGTTGAATTTATTTAGCAACAATTATGATTATTATGATTGATAAAAAATCTAATTCAAACTGTTCAATAATTTTAAATGGTGTATGATTTTTACATAGCATTAAGAGTTCTAATTCCTGTTCGAACCAGTTCAAAAACTAAATTTACTGATTGTTTTGAAACCTAAAGCATCTGTGATGTATATGAAAAGTATTTTATTAATAAAAACATTTAATATATCTTTGTTATAGATTTGTAAAAACAAAACAGCATTGGAAATCATGCTGCTTTGAGTATCTCCAACAATATTTTTTTCTTTATATTTTTTTACCTAGTTTGCAACAATTACGGTTATTTAGAATTTTAAAAAAATAATAAAATTCAAACTTTTCAGTAATTTCAAATGGTGTGTTATGCTTTTTACATAGCATTGAGAAGTTCGATTCATGTACAAACTGGTTCAAAAACTAGATTTACTGATTACTTTAAATGCATTTTACTATGTTCATATGGAAAATATATAATATATAATTTTGCTGATACAAAATGAATGCTGAATTCTGCAATGATTTTAAAGTGCCTTATTAATAAAAATATATAATTCATTTTTTCATTATGTTCGCTTTGTGGAAAAACAGCATGGAAAAATCATGCTTTCAATATTTCCAATTATGTTTTTTCTGTTTTACGTTTTGAATTTACCATTTTGAATTTATTTTGCAACAGTTATGGTTATTTTGATTGAAAATAAATTTTAAAAATTCAAACTTTGAAGCAAATACAAAATCTCAAATTTATATCAAATAGTTTCAAAGGCTGAAAAGACTGAATTTGTTTTCTAAAAATATATAAATAATATTTTTTTCTAGCTTTATCGCCCAGTCCTAAAACAAACAGTACTTTCTTTCTAGGGGCCACCCATAGGGACCATGTGTCCCTCACCTGTTGTCCACCGTCATGACAGCTGGTCCACAGTCGCTTACAGCCTCCAAACCTTGAGCGCTCCTCCCCTCTTTAACACAAAGAACACCGAAGCCCCCACCACCTGTCCTACTGTAACACAGTCTGTGCTGAAATGAATTCACCCTCGCCGTACAACAGGTATCCCTTTATAAAAAAAGACCATGGGATATTGTGTCGCTGCACGCTTCGCTGCTCTTGAGTGGGAGCTCCATTTTGTTGGGAAGTGTCGGAGGGAAACTGTGCTGCTGTTATTGGACAGGCGCACCGAAAGCCATTCACATGATGGAAATATCGACAGAAGAGTCTATGAATTCTACTGCTTGTTTTGGCTGCGATGAAGAGAATCAAGCAATTCGCAGAAGTGCAGAAAAGAGCTTGGGATTTGATTAATACAATATAAGCATATTTAATGATAAGATCATACTGACACTAAACAATCAATCAAATTTCAATGCACTAACTAAAATAAGCTGGAGCCAATTTAAACCAATTTCATGGGATAAATCAAGGTTTCATTACTCAAATAGGCTAGAAACATTCATGCAAACGTTAAAGGGATAGTTCAGGCAGAAATGGAAATTAGCTGAAAATGCACTCACTCTCAGGCCATCCAAGATGTAGAGTTTGTTTATTCATCACATTTGGAAAAATGCTCACCAGTGGATGCTCTGGAGTGAATGGGTGCCGTCAGAATGAGAGTCCAAACAGCTGATAAAAACATCACAATAATTCACAAGTAATCCACACCACTCCAGTCCATCAGTTAATGTCTTGAGAAGCCAAAAGCTGAAACAAATCCATCATTAAGACTTTTTAAACTTCAAATCGTTGCTTCTGGTTAAAATACACAAGTCCATAATCCATAATAACGCTTCCTCCAGTGAAAAAGTCCATCTCCTATTGTCTCTCACATCAAAATCCACACACATATTTGTTTTGAACTGTTTTGGCTTGTAAACGGTATTTGATCTGTGCAGATTTCTCTCCTGATACAGACCAGGCGACTTTTTCACTTTCACTATTTCACTATTATGAATTATGGATTATGGTTTGAAGTTAAAAATGCTTACAATCATGCAGCTTTTGTCTTCTCCAGATGTGAACTGATGGACTGGAGTGGTGTGGATTACTTGTGGATTACTGTGATGTATTCATCAGCTGTTTGGACTCTCATTCTGACGGCACCCATTCACTGCAGAGCATCCATTGCTGAGCAAGTGATGTAATGCTACATATCTCCAAATCTGATAAAGATCCAAAGCACCTGCATTCATGTAGAGTTTGTTTAAGGCCAAACTGCAATACTATAGTTGTAAAGCAAGCTAATGATGCCTGCTTGAGCAAATAGGTCTGCATAAAGCTGATGCATCAAGATGGAAAAAAAACGAATGCAGAGTGTATTTTCTGTGCCAGGCTCTTAAATGCTACTACACTCGGAAAAACTGCCAAGAGCTCAACCAGAACCAATGCTTTTACTAAAAAAACTGACTCAATCATATGCCAAATCTTGATTGAAACTATAAAAGGGAAGGGGTAAATATTAATTAGAGTAGAAATGATAAAGAAATGCGTCTTCCAGAGAGCAAAAAGCAACATGGTGTTGATTGAAGCATCAAATGAAAGGCCATTTCACACCAATGTGAAGAATGTTTCATGAGTTCTCAGAACGCAATGAGAAATAGTTCCACATCAGATCTCATTCACACCATATGCATCTAAAGACAAAATATTATTTAAAGAAACGGAATGTCAAACCTTACTTGAATAATGCATATGCAAACACTCTTAAAAGTAATGGACATGTATTGCCATTTATGGTTCCACGAAGAACCATTAACACCCATGGAACCATAAAAGGTTCTTTACAGTGGAAAAAGAGTTTCAAAATGGCTCTTTTAAGAACTTGTTACTGGAAGGTTATATGGGGAAACAAAACTGGTTCTTCTATGGCATCACTGCAAAAACACCCTTTTGAAACCTTTATTTTTAAAAGTGTATATGCATAAAATCCTCATGATTCGATATCCAGGTGCAAACGTCACCCAGAGACTAAATGTGGCCATAATATATAGTAGGTGTGGCTCTAGTGTAAAAAACAAATGGAATATGTGAGCAGCCTCACTCCAGGGTGTCCAACAAAACCATCTGGAGCTGCTTTAAATTCCGGCGAATTTGCAAGTTTCAGGTTCTTCTTTAGCACCTCCAAATCCCCTCACGCCTCCCACCATTAAACCAATGAAATATCATGCTGTCAGAGCACACAATGCACTCCTCACCATCTCTGGTGAACGTTGCTGGGAGAGACGGGCACCGGATCAACATCCATTTAGGGTCACTGAGAGTCACAAACTGGTAAATCACATCCATACAGATTACTGATTACAGTATCCTCTGGTTATGCAAATGCATGTCTGCGCTTTGAATAAGGCAAAACTCCAACCTCAGGATATGACCACGCCTGTTTGCATCCATATTCTACTGTACCGTTATTCCACAGCTCACGTCTATGATTCCCACTATCATAAAACGTCAATATTGATTGTATATAACATTCAATATATTAAATAATAATGATTCTTTGAATGCATTAAGGCCTCTAAATCTGGATCAGCATTAAATACACCTGGATTTATATCATTGACGCAAACTCCTCTCATTTGGACTCCATCACAACAAAATGTTATTATTGCGGCAAACGCGGTCTACGCGAGCGCATTTCAGCCTGTGTGTTCTCAATAAAACATCCGAGGATAAAACAAAGGGTTTGTTTGTACTTACCGATAAAAGAATACGTGATAAACTTCACCGCCTGTGGAGTCCGCAGCGCGCAATGAGCGAGAGAGAGGCTGGACACACTGCGCTGGGAGTGACCGATGCGCACTGCCTCCCTCCCCGTCAGCTGCTGCACTGAGACGCGGGGCGGGGAATCTGCTCGCCCTACTACGGCGAGACAGCTCGGCCTTCTTCATAGTACTGGGGAGAAGATTGATTCGTTTGAGCGAATCGATTCGCTCGTTTGTATGAACCGACTCACTGATTCGTGTTTTTCACTGACTGTGGTTTTGAAATTGCGACTTTCACCATAGTAGAGGCACAAAATCACTTTCACGGACTTTTTCATTAACTGTTCCCTCCTGGTGGAATGACCTGCCCAACTCAATCCCAGCAGCTGAGTCCTTAGCCATCTTAAAAACACATCTGTTCCACCTTTATTTGACCCTCTAACTCTAGCACTCTCTATTCTATTTGAATTCTACTTTATCTTTTTTTTATTATTATTCTTTATTTAAAAAAACAACAAAAAACAAACACTAGCTTTCTATTTTTTCTATTCTATCTACTTGTTTTTCTTTGTTTGTGTGTGTGTGTGTATAATATATATATATATATATATATATATATATATATATATATACACACACACACCTTGCTACGTGTACTGCGTTAGGCTAACCGGAGACTTGTCATTTGCACTTATATATTGTTGCTCTTTTGTTAGTTTTGACTGCTTCTATTGTCCTCATCTGTAAGTGGCTTTGGATAAAAGCATCTGCAAAAATGACTAAATGTAAATGTGGTAGTCTGCAGAGGATTGATTCGTTTTAGCGAATCAATTTGATGTTTTGAGTGAACCGACTCACTGATTCGTACGAATGAATGAAGTCTAGCGTGATCCCGACTTTTCTTTTTCTTTGGAAAGTGCCTCCATCATAGCGTGGAATAGTTTGATTCTTTTCAACGAATCAATTCGATGTTTTGAGTGAACCGACTCACTGATTCGTATGAATAAAGTCCAGCGTGGTAGCGGCTTCTTTTTGTCATTGTCAAATATTTAGTTGCTGTTTATTTTTCTGTTACTTTAATAAATAATCATTTTACACTATTATGCCTCGAAAAATAATTGTCAAATGGCGTTATGATAAAGCGTTGAGAAGTCCGAATCGGTTCAAAAACTAGATTTAGCCTTCTGATTCTTTTGAAGACTCGCTCAAAAGCGTGCGACGTACTTTAGTTGTTGTTACATTTTTAGTTACGTATTAATTGTTTATCGCTGTTTAGATATTTTATTTCAAATAAAAAAACCTACCAAGACTGTGCCAAACGCTGTTTATAGTTCTTACTTGTTACTTCATACTGTACGCCTACTCTGTGATTTGCAAAAGCTCTGCGAATCAATTCAGATGAATCGACTCAAAAGAACCATTGACTCACTAATGAGCTGTTCTAAGGTCAGTGGATATGCAGTGTTTAGGCCAGACATCTGTGATGCTTATGGATCCGTGCTTTGATATAATATTGAAATATGATGCACTTTAAAATGTCAAAATCTGTTTCTCTAGAATAAATGCATTTAAATGCAATGCTATGCTTCTGTGTATAAACATCCACGCAGCTATGAGCAATTGTTTTTATTCTTGCTGTTGTTTTTATTATTTGGGATCTTCCCGAATGAAATAATAAACCTTGTAAGTCAAGTAAAACATATACTGTGATGTTGTTAAAGTGGTCAGTCCAAATATTGCAGACCACTTTCATTAAGTATTTATCAGCATGTGTTTCTTCTCCAATCAGATGAAGAGCATGCTGCGTTATACACATGGCTTCAACCGCATTCATAATTCAAAGAGAAGGCCTTTCATACATAAAGAAGCAGAATGGACACTGTTGGGTGGGTCTGGAAACTGTCTGTCCAACCAAAAAGGACAACAAGCTCATCCACATCAGCTGTTTAGTGTTCGCACGTCATCCTGGTTATGGATTATCTGCTTGCATTTATCATTAATAATTAGCTGAGATTTCAATGATTCATACTACTTCATAAAATGACTTTTTTTAATTCAACAGAACATTCAGTATCAACAACTGGAGATACAAATGTCATGATCCAACCCTAAAGGAACGGCAGCTGTGAGTGACGGGACACATGAGACGCTTTCCTGCAGGATTACAGAATGTGTTTGCACCAAAACAGAGACAGTTAGTCTGGATACATGCAAACACCTCAGTTAATAGCTGAAAAAACAACAACATGTCAGGGTCACATTTCACCCCAAAAAAGAAATTATATTTGTGCTATAAAAAAAGAAGAACCATCAACATTGTGTCATTATTTTCATGACAATTAAAGACTTTTGAGGGCGATTTTAATTTATTTTATTCTGTAATTACTGTATTGCAACTACTATGATGTATATGCATATATAAATAATGTGCAATTACAAATAATATATCAATTAAATATAAATATTAGATGAACAACTTAAACCTAAAGAAATTAAACTAAAATTAGAAATGCTGTCTTGGCAACTGTCTAAAATAATAATAATAATTTTTAAAAAAGCTGATATTTGTGCTATAAAAAAAGAAGAACCATCAACATTGTGTCATTATTTTCATGACAATTAAAGACTTTTGAGGGCGATTTTAATTCATTTTATTCTGTAATTACTGTATTGCAACTACTATGATGTATATGCATATATAAATAATATGTGCAATTACAAATAATATATCAATTAAATATAAATATTAGATGAACAACTTAAACCTAAAGAAATTAAACTAAAATTAGAAATGCTGTCTTGGCAACTGTCTAAAATAATAATAATAATTTTTAAAAAAGCTTAAGTTGAAGTAATAAAATTACTGAAACTAAAACTGAAATAAAATAAATATATATATATATATATATATATATATATATATATATATATATATTTAAAAAAAAAAATGA